ACAGAGAAAATTGTAAAATGCACTTGACTCAAATGCACTTTGTGTTTTATGAGAGAACATTTTTAATTTTACAATCTTTCAGCAGCCAATTTTATTTTATTTTATATTGTGCATTGTTGGAATGTCAGTGTTAAATAAATATTTTCATAATTTTGTAACTGATTTATTCTTTGAAGCATGAATTATTATTATTATTATTATTATTATTATTATTAATTTATGCAATTGCAATGCCTTGATTCTAGTGAAGTAAGTACACAGTCATAGCCATAAACGCAATGGTACTAAAAATTGGCATCATACTTTCTTTGGGTGTTCCAGTTTTCGACCAAGTGTTTACTCATTTTCGGTTCATTTCGGTGCATTCCTAATAAAAACAGTATCTTGACACAGACATTAACATTAACAGAGGGTCAAGTTTACAGAGCTAACAGTGATAAAAGCACAACACTCACCAGCAACATCTAGTGTCCGCGACCAATCCTCACCCAAACAATAAGCTTTTTCGTCCTTGTTGTCACAGTAGACGGTAGCCTAGCTAAAGAAGTGGCAGTGACATTTCCAGTGCCTTTCTCAAAAGTTCAGAGAATTTCAACAGAAAGCCCTTGGAGCAGCCTAACAAAAAAGGCGGAGCGCTATGAAAAACAACACTGGGCGTGGGACCTTTTCTCTTGGCTGCTGCATGCAGCCACATATGCTCTCTCCTCATTGGGAACAACTGAAAAAAGATGCTGCCGGTGAGAGAAAAACATTATGTTTCTGAAAACATTTAAGGTGAGAATTAGGAAACACAGAATAACAGTATAACCAAAGCGAGAGCTGTGTCCACATACTCAGCACACAGTCAAATATGTTTTTAGTGGGTTATCTTCTTAGCCTTCATGCATTCACCGTACTACAGATTATGGTGTTTCTTCAGAGGGTTTTAAAAGTCTGTTGTGTTGCTTTGTGGCACAGACACATCTCATACACTGTTTGCATATCATTTGTTCTCTCCTGTGTACAAACAACAGATGATGATGGTCGATGATGGATGACTTTTGTCTTGCCGTCTGCAGTTGCAACATTCAGTAAAGTTTTTCACAGTCTGCTGCTGCAGGGTGCACACATAGCGGCATGACAGCTCTTCAGAACTGGAGGCTGCTATTAGTTTAGGAGGCGCTTAATTTGGCATGCAGCTCAGTTTTCTGTGAGTGGAGCATGCATTTGAAATGTCAATATCGCAGACAATCATGTTCATTTAATTGTGAGAAGCCAAAATTGTGCAGCCTTACTCTCTATTTTCACCCTTTTTCTAGCTGGGAATGTTTGTAATGGCAGCAATAAAAGAAGTACTAAAAATTGAATTCTCAAATAAAACTATTAATAGGCCACAGTATTGGGGTTCCAAGTAGCTCAGTGGGTAGGGTGGGCGTCCTATGTACAAAGGCAGTGTCCTTGCTGTAGCGGCCTTGGGTTCGATTTCAACATTTAAACTAGGGGTGGGCGATATGGCCCTAAAATAATATCACAATATTTCAGGGTATTTTTGCAATAATTTCTTGANATGTATATTATCTTATTATCCCCTCGTTGTAAATCATGTAATGTTATTGAATTATAATGAGTTGAAGCGTTCTGCTTAGCCAAGTAACATGTTTGAATTAACATAAACTATGAATACAGCCAACTTTATCTGATCCCGTTGCCTTGATAAAGTTAATTCATTGTGCCATCATTTCAAACTCAACACTTACTGAATTTGTTTCAAATTAAAAGCCCAATATAACCTCGGCTGAGAGAATCCCTCCATTTTCTAAATTGACCTTTACTGTGAAACATTTGTAGGAACTTGGTTGTGGAGGATTCAGCGACTTGCATGTTTGCGTACGGTACTTCAAATGTAGCTCTTGCCATCTGCTGGCGCTTTTTACGTTACTACAATAACATTTCGGCTAGCAGATGAACAGACACAGTGACTGAAATAATAGTAAAAGTAATAAAAATAGGACAAGAATAACCTGATGACATCACACACGTCTCGAAAGACGACCAGGGATAATTGGTGTGGACCATTGTGTAGAGTGTCATGTCTGTCGGCCAAGTCACGGCACGCTTTTATGACTCCACAATCATGTAATGTGGCATAGTGACTTTCAGTACGGGCAGAAAAGTCATGTAGTGTGTACCAGGCACAAGTACACTAGCTGTATAGTTGTGGGTGGTGGACACGGAGATGGCTCATCAAATTTGTTAGCCCCCTTCGCAGAGATTTTTTTTCTGCATTTTCTGCAGACAGGGTGACTATCTTCAATTAGTTTCCCCTCAGCATCGTTATAAAATCCAAAATATGTCCAGACTTCAGACTTTGTCCTTTTAGAGGGGGTGAAAATCTCCGGAGCACTGTCTGTGCAGGTGCCTTCGGTGCCTTCCACTATGTTTTCAGAGGCCAAACATTGCAAACTGCGCATGCGCACCTGTGTCTGAGTACTGCTGCTGCTTTTCCAGGCAATGAGCAGTATCATCGTGAGTTTTTCAAAGTGTGGTAATCAAACACGGTTTTAATGATAATTATAGCTGCTGCGCAGCAATGGTTGGGGCCGGGCAATTTTAGGCAAAATTAAAGTTCCAAAGCTGTAGCACATATGGTTGATTTGTTATGAATTTTCAAAGTTTTGAAATTTAGAGGCTTGCTGTAGCGCCACCATCAGGACTACTGTCTTGTGTTTCCAGTTGAGGACATCTGGCATGGGACTGGACCTTTATGAAAAGTTTGGGTTGATTTCTCATATGGAAATGTTGCACAAGCTGAGGCTTGAACTCACAATCTTCAACACCAAGAACAATGCTCTATCTCACTGAGCTAATTGGCAAACGGAAATGTTACATGCAGCTTCACAAATTGACTAAGCCAGTCACCTGTGTGCAAGACAGCAGCTGTTAGTGTGTAAAGGCAGATTTCAAACAGCTGTCAAAAATTCAGTTATTAAGACAAAAATCTGATAATACACAAATTACATCTAGACAGCATGGAGATGTTGGTAATTTGTTTTTAACAATGATTTATTGGCTCCATAAGTGAAAAACTGATGTTTAAAAATGCCATTTTTGCATTGATTCCAATTGTTCGCATGAGAGCGAAATTCAAAATGTTGTAAAAAATTCAGTTTTTGAGATAAAATTCTGATATTTTCCAAACATCATCTACCATGACTCCAAAATTTTGTCTTTTTTTAATGAACATTCAAAATGTATTGAGCAAGAATTTGCAAGTATATGTTTACAACACCGTTTACAGTCAAACATTTTAATGCACTGTAGGCTCAATTTTCGATAAATCAAAAATCTGTGTGGATCGTTTGTGTAGGACAGTCTGAAGATGCTCTGTAGCAAGTTTGGTGTCAATTGAGCAAAAATTGTGGGAGCAGTTAGGTTTAATAAGTTTTACAGTGATGGACTTCATAATTTGCAATAGGTTCAAATGTACAAAAGTTTCTTCAGTATTGGGGCTACATTTTGGTGAAAGTTGCAAATCTGTAGCACAGATGGTTGATTCATTGTGAATTTTCAAAATTTTGAAGTTTAGAGGCTTGCTGTAGCGCCACCATCAGGACTATTGGCCTATTTTTGCAGCTGAGGCAATCTGGCATGGGACTGGACCTTTGTGCAAAGTTTGGTGATTTTTCGCGCATGGGAAGTAGGATTTCCTTGGAAGAAGAAGAAGAACATGCAGGATAACAATAGGGTCCTGGCAGTTTAGGCTGCCCAGCCCCTAATTAAAATTTGAAACAGTAATACTAACCGTCGGGAATTTTACAGCAGTTTATCATTTGACCGGTAATCGTTACATCCCTATTCTGTTTACAATATTAATAGTTCAACAAAATAAAACCTACCACAAATTACACATTTTAAAAGTTCCCAAATACAAAAAAATGTACCCTGGGATGTTGTTTTTTTTCCACCTGGACCTTTATGCTTTGCCATTTCTCCATCACGCTATAACATGTATTATACTGTATGCATGTACTATTGCACATTCACTTATAAGTAGTTTTTGTTAAGCTGCGAGCAGCACGTAGGTTTACATTACCAAAGTTTTATGACAAAATGACTTCACAACACTGACTCCCGTGCTGCTGCCGGCAGAGCCGCTGAATGAGTTCCCTCTGAGCAGCAAGTCGCTAAAAGAGTCTGAGAAATCCGGGCTGTTCATAAAACATTCAGGACATGCTCCTCTTTTTAGAACAACTGCAGAGTCAGTAATAATTTCGCTTTCAGCCATGCAAGTATCATGATATGAATTTTCCATATGATATTAAAAAATGTACCGGCATTATCGTGAACAAGATGATATGGCACACTCCTAATTTCATCCTGCGGCCCTTTGCTGCATGTCATCCCCTCTCTCTCTCTCTCTCTCTCTCTCTCTCTCTCTCTCTTCAAGGTGGGGTGTTGCATTGTTATATAATGCTGAATAGTTTAATGAATAATAATGCATCACATTTTAATTGTTACATTTCATGAGTAAACGTCTGAATCTGCAATTGCAATCTGCAATAAAGACAATTATGGTGTTGCTCTTCTTAAAGATGTGCTTAGGGGGCCTTTTTTGTAAATTATTTCAGGGTACAATGAGGTAAAACAGTAACATTATTCACTATTTTCATAATTTTTCATATAATACAGCTATAGCTATTAGGGGCCATATAATTGGGGGCCTGATGGTAAAATCCAACCCTGATTATTGAGATAATTCTCTATTTTTTTTTTAATCATACAGGGTAAATGAGAGGTGCAGGTTTACTCTGAGGGGTGGTTTCCACAGAAAGGTTTAGTCATCACTAAAATTACCCTTTTAAGTCTTGAGGAGCAAAAAGTCACCCTCTGAGTTCAATAAATTGAAGCCTTTTCTTGGGGACTGTGGAGCAACTTACTATTAATGGATATTTGTCATTAACATTCTGAGACTAATCAATCAACCAATAATTAAAGAATATCAATAAAGTAAAGTTATTGACCTTGAGTTGACCCTCTGATCACACGCTCCTCCCTGAAGGGAGGGGTTGGGGTTGAGGCTTAGCATCATAGGAGAGCCAGAAGTTCAGATGTTGGTCATTATGCAAATAATTGATGCATCCAATCCCAGATATGATGTAATTGCTACTGGTAGTTGTTCCTTGGGCCGTCCACCCCCACACTATGAAAAACAAGGGAACAACAATAAGATGCGCAGAGTCTGAGGGCTAAATAAAAACTGAGGGTGTGTGTTTATTGTGTACAAATAAAGTGAAACACTCCAGCTCCCTGTCTCACTGTGCTGCCTGCATTCCCACCACCCCCACCCCCTACAACAATAAAGCCTGATGGGGGATGTTTAATTTCCACAAGCTTCCTAAGTGGGTGGGTGTGTGTGTCTGATTGTGTATGTGTGAGAGAGAGAGAGATCCCAACATAAAGCTGATGAGTTCTTCAACAGCAGCATGGCTAATTAAAATTGCCTCCTGCTTGTTAACAACCGCACCCTCCCACCATTCCACTCCAAAGTAAAGCTCTGGGGCTCCAGTTTCACCAGATCTCCTGCCAGACCACAGGCTTTGGTGATTCATGATTAATTTATCATGCCTAGAACATAGAGACACACAAAAAAATTAAATTAGAACACCACCTCCCTGTAAATGGCTGCATTTACTCATGAATGAATTTTAATTCAGTATCTAATGATATTTTTCAGGTGTTACTAAGAGTTAGGACGGTTCATCTTGTTTGCAGTAAACTTAAAACCACAATAAAGGTTTGTCTTATCCATATTAAAGGTAGTCATATCACATCAGTGTACTAAAATAGGAAACAGATCTACATGCAATGCCCCCACTGCTGGCAGCAGAATAAAGTGCTACTATGCTTCACCAACAAACAACATGTGACCAAAAAGCAGGTTCTGCTAAAATAATAGCTACACCTACAATGAGGGGATCAGACAAAATAACACCTGTTATCCAAAAATTATTTAAGGCAGAGCGCTGGTATTAGTATATCAAAAACATTTTCCCTCCTTTCAGTAACGACTGCAGCCTATACAGGACATATGTGACACACACTACATCTTGAAATTCAACATTTTTCGCAATACACGTTTTCAAAAGAATTTAGGCTCCTTCATTTCAATGATGTGGAAAACGTGGAAAAATGCTAAAGATTTTATAAAAAATAGGATTTCCCTTTGATTTTAAAGGTTTTATTACAGCGCTTCAGCCAAATAAACAGAAAAAAAATAATGGCGCTATGTTTTGCTGTCATTTATCAGGTGTAAAATGTACTGTCTGGGCAGTAAATACAATCAGCCAACAAGCATAACCCATCCAAAATGGCGACATCTGGAAAACACATTTTGAAAATCTGTACAAAGATATACCAATAAATTCAGATCAATATATTATAAAAGAAAAACTCTAAACATTAAAAGAAACAATTAAAAACAATTACTTGGGAAGAATTAACCACACAGATAAAATCACTCCGGTCAAAGAAGGCTTGTGGTCCAAAATGAAATGCTCAAATGCAGCACCCCAGAGATGCAGGGTAGGGCTGGGCGATATGACCAAAATCTCATATCACGATATAGGTCATTTCATATCCTGATAACGATACATATCACGATATAGCACATTTTAATCCAATAACTTTAAATTCTGCCATGAGGGAGCACAAAAACGTTACTAGGACGAGGGGAGGACATTTCTCCTCATTTCATAACAATACGATGAGTCAGACAACCAACTCATTTTAAAGACAATGAGAGAAAAGAGACAGAGAGCAAGCAGCTGTGGTCGAGCAAGCTAGAGAGTGAGTGAAGAGAGGGAGCACTGGTAGCGAGAAAGCTGGTGAATCAGATCAATAAAACGTTATTTTCTGATTGTTTCACAGCGGTTATGTTCTAAAGCACAAACACACCCACACTCCCACACACCTCCGCTCAACACTGAGGCTGTACTCCACACCACCTGATTTGGTCTGAATATGTTTTGCTGTCATTTATTGTCGCTGTCTCACTTGTGTGCTCTTTCTCAGCGCTGCGGGGCTGCCCTGTGCAGCGCAGCAGAGACAGACAGTGGAGTTATATAAACTCGTTATGTTACTGTAAGCACTGTAAAAGCTTCGAGAAATAAAAAAGCCAAGAGTAATTTATCAATGTGATCCGTGCAAAAATGGACAGACTCCAAATGACGAAAAATATAAAATATTGCCGTAAAAAGTGTAATTTGCGTCACAACAATAAATGATAGAGCAAAATATGAAACGATAGACATTATTCTCTCATCACACGATATATATCGTCATATTGCACAGCCCTAATGCAGGGTGCAGTGTTGAAGTTGTTCAACATTGTATTACAGTCAGGATATTTTCCTGACATCTGGTGCAAAGGGCTCATTTCCCCCATTCATAAGAGTGGAGACAAATCAGACCCTAATAACTACCGTGGCATCTGTATCAGCAGTTGTCTCGGTAAATTATTCTGTAGTATTGTAAATAAAAGAACACTAGATTTCCTTGAAGGCACTTAAGTAAAAGTCAAATTGGCTTCCTCCCAAAATACCGCACCACCAACCATATATATATACCCTTCACACTAGGGCTGTGCGATTGCCTCTAAATTTCATATTGTGGATTGTCATTGCTCTAGATTGCCAATACACGATTGATTAGGGGGGGGGGGGGGGGGGGGGGGGGTGTTTCGTCCTTGGCACGTGGGGGGTTACAGCCTTGGCACGAGTCTTACATCGATCACTACCATTCAGCATGGCAGCCAACACTGACACAGCTGTGGCTTTGGTGGCAAAGAAAAACATCTCCAATTTGGGAGTTTTTTGGGTTTTTCCCAGAAGCCAGAGGTGAGCCGGCTTGTCAGCTGACAAGTGTTGCTCCTCCTCACTTCAAGTCGCTGTCATTAACTTTTAACCTGCAAAGGCGGCAGTGCCGCAACATTGTAGGAATTTATGAAAGCCCTTGTGAACATTTCAATAGTTACACATTAAAACAATATTTATTAGCAATTACTCTATTGAACGACCCAGAAGAATGAGCAAACAGGCTGTGTCACTTCAGATCAAAGAGATGCGCCCTGTCACTGTCAGTGCAGGGCTGACAGGGCACCCTCCGCTGAGAGGAGAGGAGAGGAGAGGAGAGGAGATGGATTGTAGGTCTGTTTGTAAATGGGGCTTCTCTGACAGTCATGTATTTCCCCAAAAAACATCTCTTAATGCACTGTAGAGCGCCGTTTTTTTTCTTTGTTTTGTTTTGTTTTAAATTGCCTTGATATCCAGCAAATCTACAATGTGGTATAGGGGGCAAAGTGTATGATTTAGTTAAATCAATGTATTTAGAAAATAGTTGTGCTGTTATAATTGGAGACAAACAAACTGAACTCTTCACCCAAAGAAGGTGTGCGTCAGGGCTGCAATTTAAGTCCGACTTTATTTAATGTGTATATAAATGAGCTTGCTGTTCAGTTGGATCAATGTCCTGGCCTCTCCCTCCTAGATAGAGAGGTGAAGTCTCTGTTTTATGCTGATGATCTTGTTCTACTATCTCCTACCCTACAAGGACTACAGCAACAGCTGGACATAAGTAAAAAAGTACTATCAGAACTGGGCCCTGGCAGTAAACAAGACAAAAACAAATTTCGTGATTTTTCAAAAACACCCCCGATGTCAGGAGAACAAATATCAGTTTACCATAAAAAATTAGACTTGCACCAATTTATTGGCAGTGCTCGGAATCAGGACATTTTCACATGATCAGCCATGACCTGTGACCGGCCGGTCAGTCTAAAATATGCCGATTTAAAACGCCGGTCAAATTCCCAGCACGCCGCCTGATTGACATCGTGTAACATCAGCAGCGCACACACATGGCAACTCACGGCTTGGGTGATGTGAGGAAGTGAAACATGGGCAGCTACTCACCTTAATCATTCACGCATACACATCAAAAGAGAGAAGGAGAAAGTTGTTAATTGTCCATGTTAAACTTAACTGCTGCACAGTGCCACTTGAAACTGACGAGGTGAGGCATGTCCATGCGTGTCCATGCGCTTACTGGCGGGCACATCCTACAGACCTGTGTGAATTTTCCACAGGAAAAATTACTTAACTTTTTTTGTCTATTCAAGAAATTACCCACAAATTATTTTATTTATCGATGTTTTTATTTATGTATGTATGTATTTTTTTACTTATTTATTTTAATACTGTACCTGAAGTTATATTTGAGCAAAAAGGAAAACATTTCTTAACAGGTTAAGAAACATGTCCCTGTTTTTGTTTGATTGTTTGAGATGATTATTGAAAAGCTGGTTGTATCTTGGTTAACATATTCTAATAAAGCAAAGATAGAAAATATTACAATATCTTGTGTGCTGTAAAGTGGTTTGAAAAAAAATTTAATCGGAATCAACCAAAATCGGAATCAGCCGTCCAAACACACTGCAAATCGGAAATCGGTATCAGCCCAAAAAATTGTAATTGGTGCAAGTCTATAAATAATCATATCACTGAACATAGTATGAGTTACACCTACCTTGGTATAACCATTACAGCATCAGGGAGTTGTTAACATGGCAGTGAATGCACTAAAAGAAAAAGCTCTACGAGCTCTAAATGCAATTAAGAGAAAATTTTATAATTTTCAAATTCCAATTAAATCTGGCTCAAAATATTTGACAGTGTCATCCAGCCCACTGTGCTCTATGGTAGTGAAGTATGGGGTCCACTCAGTCATCAGCGCTATACCTGTTGGGACAAACATCCAAAAGAATCTTTACATGCAGAATTCTGCAGATATATTTTACACATACACAGAAATACACCAACAAATACATGTAGAGCAGAATTAGGAAGATACCCACTGATAATTAACATTCAAAAGAGAGCACTGAAATTTTTCATCCACCTTAAAGTCAGCTCACAAGACACCCTCCATTCCAATACCCTCCAAACACAGGAACTAAACCCAGAAAAGAGTCCCCTGTGTCAGCTGGTGCTGAGACTAACTGGCCCTTCTCAGACACACTCTGACCAGTCT